TAATACTGATGATTATGGCATACAGCTCATGAAAACCCAAAATGCCTGTCCCAAAAAAAAATAGCATATTTCATTCCACCAATTTCATTTTTTTCATTTAGCCTTTATTTATACAGGTAGTCTCATTGAGCCACGAGAACTCATTTTCAAGAGAGACCTGTTTAGGGAGCACATGGTGGGGGTTAAGGGCCTTGCTCATGGGCCCAGAGTGGGGCAAATGAGGGTGGGGGCAAGTGTGGGTGTTTCACCTACCCCACCCACAATTTTGATGTTGTCGGGGCCGGGGCGTGAACCGGCGATCTTCAGATCACAGGCCCACCTCTCTAACCTCTGCGCCACCACTCCCCAATCCATGAATCAATGAAAGACAAGTGTTTTTAATACAAAAAACGCCAACCTTCAAATAATCGTGTTCAGTTATGCACTCAATACTTGGTCAGGAATCCTTTTGCATGAATGACTGCTTCAATGCGGCGTGGCATGGAGGCAATCAGCCTGTGGCACTGCTGAGGTGTTATGGAGGCCCAGGATGCTTCGATAGCGGCCTTAAACTCATCCAGAGTGTTGGGTCTTGCGTCTCTCAACTTTCACTTCACAATATCCCACAGGTTCTCTATGGGGTTCAGGTCAGGAGAGTTGGCAGGCCAATTGAGCACAGTAATACCATGGTCAGTAAACCATTTACCAGTGGTTTTGGCACTGTGAGCAGGTGCCAGGTCGTGCTGAAAAATGAAATCTTCATCTCCATAAAGCTTTTCAGCAGATGGAAGCATGAAGTGCTCCAAAATCTCCTGATAGCTAGCTGCATTGACCCTGCCCTTGATAAAACACAGTGGACCAACACCAGCAGATGACATGGCACCCCAGTGACTGAGGAAACTTGACACTGACCTCAAGCAATGTGAATTCTGTGTCTCTGTAAGAGTTCCACTGCCTGCAGCTCCTCCTCCAATTGGCTGCTGATTACCACCAGCTGGCAGCCATCCATCTGACGAGCTCCTGCTACTATTTAAGGCTGCAGTCCAGTGTGACTCACCGCTGGAGCATTGTACCCTATTTGGTATTTATGCTTTTGGCCAGTTAAATTAAGATTATATGAGAAATACTTACCTTCGTTTCTGTGCCTACAGTCCTCCTGTTTCCTTGGCTCCTGTTTGGATGCAGACTCCCGTGGTTCTGGTTCATGTTCTCCGTGCCTCGCCTTCCAGCCACACGTCTGTCCTCCCTGCATTGTCCGCCTTCCTTTGGACCATCTCTGGTGATTCACATCCACGTCAAACTCCTGCTTCACCATCTGTAAGGAAGGACAAAACAAGATTACTAAAAACTACAATTGGACTCCACTGATTCAACTCTTTTTCCCCAGGATCTCCAAGAGATGACTCACTGTAAATAGACACTGTAAATAATAAACATCACTACTTTTTCTAATCAAGTCTTGTCTTTTCTGGTTTCGCTCCATCTGGGTTCCTCAAGTCGTGACAGTCTCCTCTCTTCCTCCAGACTCTGGGACCTTGATTTCCAAAGGAAATGCAAAATTTACTGTAATCAGAGAACATAACTTTGGACCACTCAGCAGCAGTCCCAGGAGAGATGCTTCTGACACAGTCTCTTGTTCAAAAGTGGCTTGACCTGGGGAATGTGGCACCTGTAGCCCATTTCCTGCACACGCCTGTGCACGGTGGCTCTGGATGTTTCTACTCCAGACTCAGTCCACTGCTTCCGCAGGTCCCCCAAGGTCTGGAATCGGCCCTTCTCCACAATCCTCCTCAGGATCCGGTCACCTCTTCTCGTTGTGCAGCTTTTTCTGCCACACTTTTCCCTTCCCACAGACTTCCCACTGAGGTGCCTTGATACAGCACTCTGGGAACAGCCTATTCGTTCAGCAATTTCTTTCTGTGTCTTACCCTGTTGCTTGAGGGTGTCAATGATGGCCTTCTGGACAGCAGTCAGGTCGGCAGTCTTACCCATGATTGCGGTTTTGAGTAATAAACAAGGCTGGGAGTTTTTAAAAGCCTCCGGAATCTTTTGCAGGTGTTTAGAGTTACGTCATTGATTCAGATGGTTAGGTTAATAGCTTGTTTAGAGAACCTTTTCATGATATGCTAATTTTTTGGACAGGCATTTTGGGTTTTCATGAGCTGTATGCCATAATCATCAGTATTAAAACAATTAAAGACCTGAAATATTTCAGTTGGTGTGCAATGAATCTGAAATATAT